GAGAGAGAGAGAGAGAGAGAGAGAGAGCGCGATTAAAAAGAACTGTAAAAAAACCCAAACCGTAACAAGATGATCTTCATGTTGTGCACAATGACCAAGCAAGAAGATAGGCTATCACGTTTTTTTGCCGACTAGCAGCGAGAGCACTGAGCGTGTTACAGCGTCTCTGACACCATGTTAATTAAGCTAGCATTCTCGATCCGCAGCTGGCATTGTATACACATACATACATAATATATTATGTCCGGTTGTGCGGTAAAAAAAATTCGTGGCGCAACTTGTTCTCAAATATCTCTTTAACGGGAGAATCAATGTCATCCATACTTTGCACAGTGGTGTGTATCGATTTCTGTTAATCTGATCATTTTTTCCGCAACAATTGAAGCTAGATTTTCTTCAAAAATTTATATAAAATACTATAAATCTCCGTCGCGCCAAAAATAGAATTGTTCACAGCACTTCACACATTTTGTATACGCACATGGCCTACGTCACAGATCACCAATGACACTTTTCAGTGGCAAAACTTGTTAAAAGATATTAATTTTAGTATAAATACATTTTTGCTCTAAAAGTTCCCAAAAGATGCGTATAAAAAAGATAGTGTAAGGATTGGGAAAAAATGACGGACTTGTATTAGCTGTAAACATTTTCAAATCTGTAGAAACCACCAACATGGATTTTTTATCAGTATTTATTAAGGGATTTTCTAGAATGTAGCTAACAGGCGATAACAAAAATATAGTTACGACAAATTGATAGAAGTCATTTTGCGCCACGAATTTTTGACCGCACAATATTTGTAATAATTATATACTTGCACTCAAAATAGCTTCACGGTCACATGCATATGATGAACATGAACAATTGTGCCTATAAGAACGAAAGACGTCTATCTCCACTTTGTGTGGTTTGCAGATTGGGATTTTCCCTTTTTCAGAAAAAAAAGAATTATTTAACAAAATTCAGTTTCAACGGAGAGGATAGTGTTCCAAACACAATAAGCCGTTAGATTTTTATTTGGTCACAAGATGTGACAGCTCTTGCCCAGGATAGCCTTTTTTTTGTTGTAAAGTAGGTATTTTTACGTCCCTATCGACTCAATTTGGATCATTCAGGAGAGGTTGGATTCCAACCTTGCTTTCAGGCCAGTCCGGGCTGAGACTGAGAGGTATACAACATCCCAATAGAAAGACTGAGATACTCCATAAAAATGTTCTCCCAACTCGGGAATCGAACTCGAGTCTCCTGTGTGCGACATCGAGGCAAATGACCTCGACAACCCACAACATGCCGGTCCCAGGATAGCGATGTCTCAGTTTTCACCAACAGTGGAGTCAGACTACTCTTTTTCTCAATGACACAATTATTGTTAATAATGATAATACTAGTGTTTAAGAAGCTTACCTAGGGCGAGGAGCTGGACAACACAGGCCAGTATTCTCAGAGTTCGGTCAGTGTACTCCATTATGTCCGATCTTATCTACTCCTATGGACACATTGAGGGAAAAAAAACCAATCTCAAAATTTAGTACAAATATTATAAAAAAAAGACTTTAACCGTCTATTCTTCTTGCCTGCGTTTTGTCATCATCATCATCATCATCGGCAAGAACAAGAACAAAAACAAAAACAACAACAAAAACAAAAACAACAACAACAACAACAATAACAACAACAAAAACAACAACAACCACGACAACAACAATAACGACGACGACGACCGCACTAACACAACAACAGTACAGGCAGCAGGAACGCAGGGGCATGTAATAAAATGTATAGCAGAGCAGTAGATCGTCTAATATACAACATTGATGATATAAGTGACTACGACAGAGTGAAAAGAAACCCCAGCTTGAGTTCCATCAGAAGAGACAGAGCAACCACTGTAACAACAACTGTCAAAGCAACAACACTGACACAGAACCATCATAAACAATAACAAAAGCAAAAAAATAAATAAATAAATAAATAACAATAACAATATTAAGGAAAACAGCAACAGCAACAGCAACCGTGGCCTTGTCGAGAATTTTATTCTAGGAGCCACAGATAAACGCAACAAAGAAATTCTTACTCGCTATAGCCCCCAAACTCGTTGGCAACACACAATAACAATACCAAAAACATAACAACAGCAAAAACACAAAAATAACTAAAACAACAACAACATCAAACCACAAAACAACAACAGCAACAATAAAACAACAATAACAACAGAACAACAGCAACAATAAAACAACAATAACAACAGAACAACAGCAACAACAAACAACAACAACAACAAACCACAAAAAACAACAACAGCAACAATAAAATACCACCACCACCACCACCAACAACAGGCATTACGAAAGGAACACAACAACAACAACAGCAAAAAGAAAAAAACCCAACAACAACAAAATAACAACAACAAAAGGCATTACGACAAACCACAACAACAGAAGAAAAAGAAGA